CTTCGCACTTCCAGGCATCATCCACCGTCTGATGACTATCTTCCACGTACGTACTTAATTCGGTTGCCTGATATAATGCATTTATTTCCAATATATTACTCATACAATGGTATCTTTTTGTAGGATAAAATTATAAAACAGGAGAAATTAATGAAAGAAATTAATTGGTTTACACTTAGGCCGATGGAACCGACAATCCGTCATGTACTAAAGATTCCCTAATTGGAATAATACTGATTTGTCAACATATTTTTTTTGTTCCAATTTATACCTTTGTGTATTTTTAAATTCATTTTTAAGATGAGTTACAACAATAAATTAATTTATTTATATCAATATTATCACTGATATTACAAGCTCCTCAATTTGAAGTGTAATTTACGGGTGATCTGTGATATGCGTTAAGGTTTTTTTTACTTTACCACACATCCATGTTGGTCATCAGACGGTGGATGATGCCTGGAAGTGCGAAGAGGAGATAATCATGTCGGTCGTCATGGCGGTGACCTCTAGCTTAACTCTCAGGTGATCGGAAAATGGAGGTAAGGGAAGAAGACCTCGCATTTTTATATTATTGCGATCCCTTCACATTAACGCATTTTCGAATACTTTAGATGGATCATAGTTTAACTTGTCGTAACTACCATCGAAGGATGCGAAAGGAGAACTCTCTTCTATAGTTTCAGCTGTCGATGTAGCCAACGCCAGAAATAATGGTCAACTGCTTATAATCTAAAAGAAATCAGTTCTGTAATTAGAGATCATCTCGATTCTTCAAAGAATGTTTGATAAATGTGATCCATCCGTTTTTTTTTAAGATGTAACCTTATCATGTCGGGTGGTAAAATGATGATCATTTACCAAGAGAATTGATCTATGAAAGAGTGGATAATAAAGATGAATTTGATTAAAGCCTTGGATATTGCGCTTATCTTGAGGATCTTTCAAAGTTACCAATATTCATAATTACATTGTTTCTACACTGCTTCTTATCATCATTAATTATGCTTCTGAACTTATTTCGGAATTTAAATAACTGTGACAATCCTGTATGTACCAGAAAATTTTATAGATCAAATTTTTTTCATTGTAAAAACAAAAAAAATCTATAATAGTAAAATCTATTATTTAAAGAATTTTAAAAACATTAATATTCCTATATTAAAATATGTAGTTATTGATTATATAAATGATATTTATTATATATTTATTAAATTATATATATTTAAGGTATTGTCAAATTTTTTTTTATCATCAATTGATTTTAAGTACATTATATTTAATTTATAAAAAATATAGAATTTTTATTTGTAGTGAATTTATAAGATTGATATTATATTGTAATTATTAGAATTCAAGTTTGTTTAATATACTGTATGTTGTTTCTATTAATTTTTATACAATATAATTTTTTTAATAACAAATAAAATAGCTATTTATTTTTCATGTTAATTGAATTTATCAATCATTTTTTTAATATAAAAAAAATCTTGATATTTTATTGTTATCATGTATCTGAATACTAAAATCCATAAACCATTTATTAAAGCATATAATATACAGTACATTTGTTTTTTTAAAATAGAAATAATCCAACAGTTGATAGTAAGACGTTGCTGTTAACGGAAAACAGGTAGCATTTATTTAACCAGGTCAATGCAAACAAATGACCCTTGTTTTTTATATTAAATGGAAAAAAAAAATAAACATTCGCATGTTGATTCATTGGTCGGAATTGGTAGCTTACAATGACATTCGGGATCAAATCATTTTGGAAAGCAAAAAAACTTTTTGTTTCTTGTTCACCCAATGCCTATAGTACTGTCACCGATGCAATTTGTCAATCCTGAATAAACAAGTGAATATCGGAGCATAATATTTTTGACATACGACCAATAACCCGATTCGTAACAAAGAAACGATGCAAAAACATTGTTTAATTTATCTATAAATACATAAATACAGTATATGGTCGATATTGGTTATTTCGCGCTTGTATAATTATGGTAATCATATAATTCATTTCTTATGTAGAGTAATTCAGACAATAAGACAATATGCAGTAAAAAAAAAAAAAAATACCGATACGTATGATAATGTTTTAAGGTTAGTGAGATTGCACTCAGGGTTCCTTTTTTTCCATGGCATGAAAAATTGCTTGGCAAAAATAAAAAATGTGCAAAGTGAAGCCTTGGTATGTTTGTAGAATATTGGTGCCTATGGAATCAACGAAAATCGGTTGTAGAAGGGTTGTCACACGCACGTACTTCATGATTGTGAGAGTAAATTCGAGTGTACGTTTTTTTTTGTTTTTTTTTTTTTTAGAAATCTTATGCACTGGTAACTTTGTGCAAATTAGTTTATATAAAAATCTTTGATATGAGTAACATACCCGTTATTGCAATAATTCTAGTAAAAATGGGTGTATAAGCAATAAATACAGTAGTTACTGACGCTCAAGGAATCACTTATTGTTTATTTTTATTTGGCTTCTTATTAGGAATTTACACAGCATAATTTAAATTGCCAATAAATTTGCAGTGTGAAACATTTTTCATTTTGTGAAATAATGAAAATTGCAGCAGAGTGATCCGAGCAAACTTCTTTGGTTATAAAAACATTTTTGTTTTCTCAAGTGAATGCAACAATTTTTTTTGATTTACATTCGTCTTCTGGGGAAAGACCGAGTCGGTTTCGAAGCATTCTCATCGTATTTCAAAAATCAGATTGGACTGTCGTGAATTCATCAGAATGCTATGAAAGTACAGGTTTCATTGTTCACGACATTAATCTATTGACCAGATTATTGTTTTCATTTAGGAGTAATACAAACATTAGTATTCGATCATCATCATTGTGATTATTATGTGCATGCAAAATTAAAATTAATAAAAGGGAATGTTCCCTGGATAAGTCAGATTTCCTTCACTGCGAAGAAAAAATTTTGTTTTTGTTTTTTTTGACGAATTTCAAACACACTCTTTATATAAATGACGTCTCATAATACGACTGGTAGAACCAGCGGTAACCGTCGATTGTCACAAAATTCTGCATCGTTCCGTTATGTTGACGGCAGGAGATTTCATAATGTCAAAGGATCAAGCTATCCTTTACCGAACGATGAACTTGAGGTTATCAGGATGGACGCTCAGCACGAACTTATGCGAGGTGTATGGGATGGAGATTTCGTGTCTCCAGTTAAGGACGACTTGATCGCCGGAGGCTTACACGTCTTGGATGTAGGGTAGATATATGAGATCATTGCTTCCACGATAGCAAACATATTATCGGTAGCTAGAGCTAAGGAAAATACGTTTATATATAATACTTTTTCATTACAGCTGTGGAAGTGGCACATGGCTATTGCAACTCGCCCGGGATTATCCTTTGAATCACTACACCGGTATTGATATGTCACCGGTGTTTCCCAAAAACATCGAGCTGCCAAATGTAAAATTTATTCAGGCCAATGTATTGCAAAGAATGCCTTTCGACGCAAATTCATTTGACTTCGTGCACATAAGATTTCTCAACACGGCATTTACTGAACGACAATGGGAAGAAACGGTTATCCCCGATTTAACCAGGGTCACAAAACCTAAGGGATGGTTGGAATTATGTGAATTCGATATCGACGGTCAGTCCTTCGGCCCCGCTTCTCGACGAATGATTTCTGCTTGTAAGTGAGATGGATGGGTGAACGTTATAAAAGGGTGATACCATCAGAACACAAACTAATATGAGTATTTCTCGTCTCTTTGACAGTAACAAGTTATCTCGGATCGAAAGGAATCAATGGTTTGATCAGCGAAGAAATTTTGGAATTTTTGGAATCGATGGAAACATTTGAAGTAATTCACACGGAGGAAAAATTTTCTGGTCTGGGAAAATGGGCAGGACACTTGGGTGACTTGGTAAGTGTGTGAGCAGATATACAGTATGCACATAATCTTCTTTTAGAATATCATAACACGAATGCAAACCATCATTCTTTTCTCCTTGTGTTTCTCGAAGGCCATAAAATCTTTTATCGCCGCATTTTGCGGCATAAAGGAATTACCCGGGTGGATGGGCATAGAAGAAGAGGAGTATAACGAGATGGTGGACAAATATGCTCAAGAAGTAGAAAAGTATCGGTCGTTCTTCGTTTCTCACAGGTTTTACTGTCGAAAAAGCGATTCGACTTCTCTCTGAAAAAAAAAATGGCCGGCAGGCATCGGTTCGTCAAACAAAAAAAACAATCTCTTTCATTTTTCTTAAAATCAAGTGAACCAAAATTATATTTATTAGTCAATTAAGAACATTGGAAATAAACTAGTAATAATATAATAATGATAATTAGAAATTAGAAAAACGCGAGATAATATTAAATAGAAAGACGTTTGTTTGGTTTTTCGAATTTTTTAAGGTTGGGGTTGTGAAACAAAGTGTAAAAAAAGAGTTTCTTTTATAATAGGTCGTGTAACATTGAATTCTAAAAATCGAAGAGCCATGTCAGTCGGATGACATTCGATAACAAACAATAGTCGGACATCCAAATAAATCTAGTACCTGATCTTTTTCCTGTGAAATGGAACCTGTAACAACAGTGATATATAACTGTATAATAATTACAGTAGATAATAAATAAAATAAATAAAAAAAAACAAGAATAATAATTTTAATTTATGATGGAAAAATACAGAGTTAAAACAAAAGCGTGTGTTCACATAAAAACAGATGGCACTAACTATATAATGTCATTAGAAATGAATTGTGTTATCTTTGCTTCGAAAAACTTACACGACTTTGAAAGGTGGATATACATATATCGTATATACGTATATAACATTAAATAAAGTCGAGGCGCCAAAGGCATTAAGAGCAGTACAAGTTTTTGGCGACTAATGAGGCCGCAAAAACTCGGTTGGCCCCGCTCTCCAGGAAGCCCGGATGACGGACGAGCGACAGCCGAAGTTGACATCCGCGAAGCAGAAATTTTGCTGATATGCAACGAAGATTTTCGTTTAGCTGCTTCTATAGTGGCCATCCTGAGAGACAAGGGTGCCCGAGTTATTAAGATTTTTTATCCCGAAAATTTAGTACAAGTATACAGTTAATCGTTTTTTTTTTGGAAAGTGGTAATATTCAATCCAATTACTAACTAACTCGTCATTTGTATTAATTAGTATGCCAATATGGAAATTGACGCAATTAAAGTCCCGGGAAGTTGGGACCACTTCGAGTGGAATATCTCTAGTAAGAAACTTTTCGAGAAAATTCTCAGTTTTCCATCGATTGACTCCTTGATTCATCTTCACCACTTTCCTCAGATGCGACAATAGTGATTAGTATGCTTTATAATGATTTTGACAAACAAGAGATGCTACTAAATGCCTGCATAAGGCAAAATGTGGAATTATATGTATCTTGGGACGCAGGGATGGAATTGTAAGGAATTACACAATTAACAATGACTTATCATAATCATTATTATTGTCGTTATGTTGATGGTATTTGGCGTGAACATGGTTGACCAGTCGTTTATTAATAAATAAATTATATTAATTGCCAAAAGTATTGGATCTCAATTTCAATTAGAGAACATTACGTCACGGATAAAAGGAGCC